GTGTTGCCGCCTTTGATGAACATATAAGAACAAGGTTCTCATAATTCTCATAAGAAAGACGAGCTCAGAACTGTGTGAAAATTATGAAAGTAACAACTTTTTTTCTCAGAATTGCCACAAGTTTGTTTTTTTTGTGTGAGTAGAAAATGTATAGTCAGAGTGGTAAGATGTAAACTCAAAATTATGAGGGAAAAAAAGTAAGAATTCTGACATAAGAGCTCAATTTTGAGAAATAAACTCAGAAATGTGTGGATGAAACTCAGAGTTATTCAATTAAAGGTCACGGTTACCTTTCTTATTGTTCTGGCTTTCCATACACTCCCTTAATTGACTTAAAGATGTGAAAACGAGTGTTTGTTTCTTGTTTTATAGGTTTGGCAAGAAATCCAGACCAGCGATGTATGATGCGACTCCCATCAGTTATGAAGATTACAGCCCTGACGACAAGCCTCTGGTCGCACTCATTAAAACTAAAGATTTGTGAGGAAATACATCAACACACACATACACACACACACTGCATACACGGTCACTGTTCCAGCCTTTAAAACGAGCCGTTTAGTATTTATTTCCAGAGAATAAGTTCAAAATAATTCAATCAAATCTTAACGGATACTTTGAAATCGATATATTTTAGCATCGCAAACCATGAAGCTTTTAATTCACGTCAGGCACTTTGGAGTGCTGCACAGAATTAGTCTAAAGGAATGTGCTTTGTTTGCAGACGCAAATGTTTTTGTGGAATGTGAGTAGACAAATAACAAGCTACATTGCAAAACACGTCTGGGGGTTGCGTTTAACCCAAAACCCTTCCACCCTCCGGACTCAGATTACAAATGCGATAGCAGCAGGCGAAAAGCTGTAGAATTAGCGAGTAATAGAGCTCATAGTACAGGTATATTCTTAACATTAAACAGAGGAATTACGAGATCAGACGATTGCCTTACTGGTGCATGGATAGGATTGGGGGTTCGGCATTACTCTGTAACCTTATGTACATTATTGTTGTTTGCTGTTTATTTCTTCTTGTTCACTGTGGTCTCTTTTGTGTCATAAACTTGGTGTTAGCAAAGTCTTAAGATACCACTGTCCGTGTGAAGGCAGCACAGCAAAGTGCTTTTAAAGTAATATTTGATGGTGTCATCTCACTGAGTAATAAACTAGGACTCCTGATCTACATGTCATCGTGTTTTAAAACAGACATCTCTGTTCCAGTACCTCTGCGTAGCTCCTTCAGAAATTTCAGACTGAAATTGAGTCATTTCACTAGAAATAAAAACTATTGGGAGTTTCGTGTGGCAACGAACGAGTTGACTATGCAGATTTGATCCTTGGAGAAGATGGTCAAGCGTAGTTTTGCATTGGTTGTAATGTGACTACTGTGCATTACACACCAGTACAGTTTTAGTGTTGAATTTAGTGCAAATTCACAAATGTGATCAGAAATGATCATTAAAGGTGCCATAGAATGCTGTGATACGATGTATTAAATTGTTTGCTGAGATCTACATTGAATGTATGTGGATTAGGTAGGTGATTTGTTTTGCTTCTGAGTTGTGTTGTGCATGAAAAATTATCTAACTTATAATTAAACTCCACAAAAAGGAAGTGTATTTTGTGGGTTAAACATGCAACTGGGTCAGTTAATGTAAGAGCACATAAGTAACTTGACTTCTAGTTGATCATTTGGAAAAGTGGCAGAAGGTCGAGTTTTCTGATGAATCATCTGTTGAGCTGCATCACAATCATCACAAATACTGCAGAAGACCTACTGGAACCTGCATGAATCAGAGATTCTCATAAAATCAGTCAAGTTTGGTAAAGGAAAAGTCATGGTTTGGGGTTACATTCAGTATGAAAGTGTGCGAGAGATCTGCAGAGTGCATTTCAACATCAACAGCCTGAGGTATCAAGACATTTGTGCTGCCCATTACATTACAAACCACAGTAGAGGGCAAATTCTCCAGCAGGATAGTGCTCCTTCTCATACTTCAGCCTCCACATCAAAGCTCCTGAAAGCAAAGAAGGTGAAACTGCTCCAGGATTGGCCAGCCCAGTCACCAGACATGAACATTATTGAGCATGTTCGGGGTAAGATGCAGGAGGAGGCATTGAAGATGAATCCGAAGGATCTTGATGGACTCTGGGAGTCCTGCGAGAACGCTTTCCATTCCAGATTTCCACTGCAGCATGACTTTATATTCTGTACTGAACATTATTTCTGTTCAGTGACAAGACTTTTGTCTAAGCAAAGTCAGACCTTACTGTCCTAATTAAATAATTAAAAATCAAGACATAATCATATTTTATTTTGGTAAAATAAGCGTAATCTAGAGGCATTTGCCTTTTACATAAGCCACTTCTGATACCAAATGATCAACTAGAAGTCAAGTTATTATTTGTTGTTCCTAAAACTTGGATAGGCGGCAAGACTTTTGTCAGGTAGAGTTTATAAAAACAGAGGCAGGATTTGATATCAACCTCCACATAAACAGATGAGTTTTATTGGCGTCATTTCAATCACAGTAAGAGCTGTGTGATATGACACGGTGCATAAATGCGCATTAAACACATATATTCAGCTGTTTACATGTGTTTGTTGCCTGATTATAAATGTACACTGCTAAATTCACTATATATACACCTTAAACTACCTAAATATATATTTAAACAGACCTTATGTCACTTTAGAGTGTCATTAATCCAATTTTTAATCCGTATATCCTGCATTTTGTGTTCTAACTCGGCTGCTTCGTAAAGCTGCTCCTTTACTCTTTCGTAAAGCCTGTCTTGTTTTCAAAATAAGAGTCCCACATATAAAGCAAGCATAATGTAAACTTAGATAAACTTCAAACATGCGAAAATATACCATTGTTGCGATCTCACTAGGAAACATTGTGGCCAATCAAATGCAGCGAAGGACATGCATATTAATGATTCAGTGTGGATTGTCATACTGTTTTGTACTGAATGGCCTATTTTTCAACCAGGATTTTCCACTCACAGGATTTACATGAAGGAGTAAGCAATAGTGTTTGATGCTCTTGGTATGTTGTTTCTATGTAATGACCTCATACTGTTCAACTATGCCTACTGTATGTATATACAGATTTTCATTCTGTGGCACCTTTAAGAGTCAGTCAAGATCCTTGAAACTACTTTATACTAAATACACGAAAACCCAGGAGTCTGTTTAAATATTAATATGAACATCAATAATTTGCCTATAACCAACCTTTCACAAACTGCACCTTTGGCATTGTCAAAAACATGTGCATATTCAATAAACCAAAATGCCATTAAAATGATAGTTAATAAAAAATAGCTGTTAATTTGCTCACCCTCAGGTCTAACAAGATGCAAGTGACACTTTTTTTTCTTTGGTAGAACATTAAACAAGATTTTTAGCTGTTCCTTAGTGATTCATAAAATGCAAATTAATGATTCATAAAATGCAAATTACATCCTATTGGGAGTCAAAAAATAAGCAAGGTCATAAAAAACAACATCTTGTGACTCCTAATGAAATTTTGAGGTCTTATGAACTGAAATGATTGATCTGTGCAAGAAACTGAACATTATTTACAATGTTAGTACTTTTAATCCAGAATTATTGTCAACTTTTTTATATAGGTCACACTGCAGCATCCAGAATAAGCACAAGTACTATTTTGATGAATCTGAATACAACAGATGCATCCTTTTTCTTCATTAAACAAAGGTAATAATGTTACAAATAATGTTTATTTTTTCGACTTAGACCAATCTTTTTACTTTAGTTTATGAATTTGTAATTTAGCTTTTATTTTATTTAACTCTAAAATTGCTGGCAAGCATTGACTTGCATTTTAGGAACCACCAAGGACCAGTTTCAGCTAAAAATCGATGTTCTAAAGAAGAAATAAAAGTCACGTATATTGGATGACATGAGGGTAGGAGTGTAACAGATTACAGTTGATCCGTGATTCGTACAGATCACAACTCACGGTTCGGAACACACGTTGCCCGCAGATTATTACTTTTTTTTTTACTTTACAAAATTTTTACTTTATTAAGTTTGTAACAATCACAGATAGATCACTTCTCGCGTCATTCAAATCACATGTATGGAAACATTCAGGCTTTCCTCTAAAATATAATGATGACAGAAGAAGTTGTGAGTTATTTGGGATGTGGTGGGTTATTAAAGGTTTTTTCTGCCACTACTTGTTTAGCCTGCATTAATACATTCAGTGTAAGCCGCACGATTAATCATTAAAAGATCAGGATCTCAACACCCACGCAACATAATTATGCTGATTTGCGTATGGTTATTAATCCTTCAAATCGCTGCATTCAAATCGCTGTTTGAAAAACACAAAAATCAGAGATTCAGTCTTTAGTCTTTTGAGTTAGTTATGAAGTTACAAACAGTGAAATAACACAGAAGTACTGGGATAACAGATCATAGTATAGATATAACCACTGATGTTTATGGTAAAGATTGTCATATGCATTTAACTTGATGCTCAAAAGTGAAAGTTGTAGGCTGCAATTACATTACTTAACCAGCCATAAAATTACATTTACTTACATTAAATTACTTAACCAGCCATAAAAAATATGTCACTTAATAATTCTTCAAAAATGATCATTTAGCAATGAAACTAGAAGATTTATGAGTGAATGACTGAATTATATATTGAAAATGAGACTAAAATGAAAGTATGGGCTGTACAAATGATGTTAGATTTCTATATTTAGCATAGTCAGCAACAGTAGTAACAGTCAACTTTTCAAAGTACTGAATATTTTACAGTTTATTTTCATTTAGCTGATTATATCTTCATTTTATTTCCATTACAACTACAGCTTCTAAGTTCTGTTTGTTGAAATCCAAAAAAAATAAAAAATTGCAGTACTGTTTTTGTAATAAATAGAAAGAAAATTACATTTGCCTTCTCTTTTTGGTTGTTCCGAAAAATGGTAATGGAAACCATAATGTAATCCAAACCGTGAGATTTGTGATCTGTTACAAATCTACATGAGGGTAAGCAAATTAACAGCAAATGAAAACAATTTTGGTGAGCTATTCCTTTAAAGATGTTTTATGCACAGTGTAATTGGAATAATGAATAAAAAAATGGGCCAGTTTGGCTTTTAACCCAATAAATAGATACAATTTATGGTGTTATATGTCCTTGCATGCTGTCAGATGTGTAAGGTTGTGCATGTACAGTTGAAGTCAGAATTATTAGCCCCCCTTTGATTGTTTTTTCTTTTAAAAATATTTGCCAAATGATGTTTAACAGAGCAAGATTATTTTCACAGCATGTCTGATAATATTTTTTCTTCCTGAGAAAGTCTTGTTTTATTTTTTAGCTAGAATAAAAGCAGTTTTAAAAATTGTAAACACCATTATAAGATCAAAATTATTAGCCCCTATAAGCTATATTTTTTTTCAATAATCTACAGAACAAACCATCATCATACAATAACTTGCCT